TGGGAAGCAGGGTTGTTAAAAATAATGAGCAGCCTTCAACTTCCTTCTCTTTATTAACTCTCTGCAAAGGACAACCTGACACTTGATTTTTTAACACAGTCTCCCCTTTTAGTAATAGCCATCAGCAGATTGCTAAAAATGTTTCCACAACATGCTCCATGTGCCATAATACTTGGAACCACACTGCAAAACACTCAGTCTTTTCCTTCCTTTTTTTTCCCCTTTCCCTTTGTACCTCTCAGAATTGGCTTTTCTATTAACTGCCTCTATGCTAAACACAAATTTGTCATCCCTCCCACCTCTAAAGTATACAAAGCTAGCATTTGAGGGGAAAGTTGAAAGCTCATAGCAAAGGGAAAGAAAATGACTTTAAATACCCAGCCTAAAGTTCCATTCATTCCAAGTTTCTCCCTTGAACTGGCCCTGCAGGACGAATTCACGTCCAGGAAACTTTAGGAAAGGTTTCGACACCTAATTGTTGGCATGGTTTTGCCTTCAGATAGGAGAAATCTGAATGAACCAGATGGTTGGTAAAAGGCCAGAATTTTAGTCTTGAAGAGATTTCTAGAATGAATTATGAAGCTAACTACCCAGAGTTAGTACTTTGTTCCCTCAGAGAATGCTGCCTCAGTGCCAAATAACAGAACTGAACTCTTGACTTTTTCCCCTTGTAGTTAACAACTTAAGCCAAGCTTTTGATCAAAGGAAAGGAAGCACAACTGCTAAGACCCAAAGAAACTGTCAGCTTGACCATAAGTCTCTGTGACTGGGGATCCAAGTGACTCAGCCTTCCAGTGATCAGAGGATGAAAGAGGAAGTAGTGGTATTGGGGCACCTATCAGATTGTCAAGACCCTGTCAGATACTTTATGACACGATTTCATGGAGTCCCCATACTAACCCCAAGAAGTTGTCATTTGTAGCCATGAGTGAATGATACATAGAAAGTTAACATTTATTCACTCACTCTTTTAACAAATATTTATTATACAAATAATCATCATCCAGGCACAGTCCTGGATGGTGAGGCTACAATGATAAAATGGAGAGAAGCAGCAATTGCATTCATAAGGCTCACAGTTTAGTTAGGAAGATTGCTAAGTGTATCTATAAACCTGGGAGTGTTACACAAGGGAAAATATAAGGTGCTAAGCAGCTATCGAAAATAGGCCATTTACTCAACCAATCAACACATGACTATTGGAAACACTAAGATACCACTTGGCTTTTGGCTTAAGAAACCAAGTAGTACTCTTATCAAGATATAATTCTACCTCTCCTGAATGCACCCTTGGTTAATATATTACTTACTAATGGCAAAACAAGAGAGAAAGATGTGTATTGTTAAAATAACCACAAATATGAATGCTCACATAGGTAGAGCAAAACTATACTTCAATGAAATATTGGTGTCTATGAATATCTGCTAGAATTTTCTGTGCTAATAGAAATGTGTTATATCTGTGATATACATGGACATATGGTTAGGAGCACATGAAAAGTCTCTCCATGTGACTGAGGCACTGAATTATTTTAATTAATTCAAAATTTAATTTTAAGAGTCATATGTGGTTAGTAACTATCATATTTGAAAAAATAGTTATAGGTAATTTCCATGGGGCATGAAGCACTCTGAAACTTGTTTCTTCCCCATTGTCTTTGGAGAGGTTTGGGCATGCCAAACTAGGAAGCCTAGGGCAACTTGTTTCTGTTACGGTCATACTGAGACTCCCCATTCCACATATACCTCGTATTTGGGGGATAGCTCCAAGGAAGACATTAGATGGCCATAAAAAAACAAGTCTAATTTAGAGTCCAGTTAGATTCAATCTGAACTAAACCTGGATTTGTTTTTAAACCGAACTATCCTCTTGGTGTTGGTGTTAGTCAATCTGGAGAAATTCAGCATTGGGCCATTTCAGGGAAAAAGAAATTTCTTTCTGGTTCCCTTGCAACAGCTCAAATGTAGAAGAGAACCGGGATCCCAAGGTCAGTCAGAATAGGAGAAAAAAGAGTGGATTAATCTTTAGGTATCTGGTCACATATGTGGAGGTGGATTCAAGTTCTCCTGAGATCAGAGAGGTAGCTATAAGAAAAAGCACCCCTCGTCCCAACACAGTCACATTCACATGCCTTTGGGTGCTGGTGTCTCTTGGTGACCATGTGTTCTTGACACTGTTATTTTGCTAGGAGTCCTAATCAGAGAACAAAGTAAAAAAGAGGTGATTTAAACCTAAAAAAAAAAATGAAACTTAATTTGCTTTAGATCCTTTTGTCAAAGCAACTTATCATTACACGAGTTTGTTTTAAATAAAGAAAGGCTATCTATCAGGCAGTAAATTATAGTAGTCCTGCTGGATATTAATTTATTCAATGACAACATCGACTCCACTGCTGCTGACTTCAGCTTCTACTTTTGGTTGGTCCTGTGGCCTCAGAGACATTCTTTCAGCTCTAGATATTTTTCTTAGTAACATAGGTATAGTTTAAATCCCTCTTGGATGGCAATGAATTGACCATTCTTTCTCTCTGCTTCGGTCTCCTGGCTACTACCACCTCAGCCAGCTACTTGACCTCACCACTCCCCCCTCCCCACTGTGAACTGATGCACACTTTTCTGATATGACTGCAGTTCATTACTAATTGGGCATTACTGACAGACTGCTGCCTCCAGGCCTGCCATGGGTCTGGCTGCCACCTCAGGAAGCAACATGAATCAGCATCATGATTATTGCTTGCTTTATTCTTAAGGAAAGGAAAGGAACCAGACCTTTAAAAATATACTACGTGTTGTATTTCAGCATGCTGTCCAGTTGCCAATTCTTCTTTCGAAAATTGGTCCTATGCAAACACTATTTAAAAGAAAGTTGGCTTGGGGTATGACTGATATCAGATCATTTCATGAGATAATAGTAGTAAAAGTTTCATTTATTGGAAGCCAGTAATGTGCTAAGCATATTTATTGAAACATTCATTGTTATATTCAGTTTTCACAATAACCAGTAAACTTTAAAACTTTTTTTTCTGTTTTTTTTTTCAGATGAAGAAATAACATTTATGAGTCTAAACAACCTGTCGAAGGTCACAGTTTGGAAGTCACAAACTCATCTAACTCCTGTAGCCAGTGCTGTTTCCATACTGATGGACCAACTTCTGGGGTACAAGGTTCCAGAGAGGAGATAGAGATGGGAATGAAGAAAGGAATATGTCAAGGTGTATGTCAAGGTGTCTAACTTCACTGGGTTAGTTGAAAGCGATAAAGTGTCTATCTTTCACTACTGATGTCACTTAATTTTTCCTCACACAGTACTAGGCACAAACGAGGCACTTGCTGAATGAAATAAATGTTTAAAAATCTGTCCTGAAAATATATTTTCGAGTAAGATTTAGACAGAAACATTGTACTAAGCTTGCCCTGGAGAGACCAAGCATGCAAAGGTCTTTCTTTTTTGTGGCCTTATTTTTGGGGGTGGGATAGAATAGAAAACAGTAATCATAGCAATGAGTAAAATAATTTCAGATGGTGTCAAAGTGCAAGGGGGAAAAAAAAACAGTGTGAGGTGACCCAGTGCTCTGAGTACCTATGCAGGCACAGGAGCACTAATTTAGACTCAGTGGTCTGCAGTGTTCTACAAAAAGGCCAACACCCAAGGAACCTTCAAGATCTGTAAGGAGACTGTGCCAAACAAAGGGAGCATCTCACTAAGTGGGGAGTACAAAAAGAAAAATCAAAGTGCTTCCTGGGGTTTAAATTCAGCAACTGGCAGGATCTTGATGATTTACTGAAATTGGAAGACCTGGAGAAAGCAAATTGTGGAGGGGGAAATGTAAGAGTTTTTTTAATTTACAAAAGGCATTTTTATAATGCTTACTTTTTACCAGGTAGACTCTAAATACAATGTCTTATTTCTGCATATTTCTATGAAAAGTTGATAAATTCAATGAATCCATCATTTTCATTTTAAATAAAAAGATACAAGTTATATTCATAATTATTCTTTTTAAATTAGTTCTATTTTTACCAGTATGAATAATAGAAAAAAATGAAAATCTTTAGAAAATTATTTCTAGTTTTTCAAACTCTGCAGTGTATTTTTTAACTACCAAATTATATTCTTAAGCATATTTTTTAAAGAAATGCCATATGCAGCCAAAATTCAAGTTTCTGTGAATCTAATCAAAAAGGTGCATAAAGGCTTACAATAAAATTTCCATTTTTTTAATGCCAGCATGTTCCTTGAACTTGAAGATTATGAATTAGGAAACTATTTCATTTGAAAAACCTAATGATTTTATAAAGTGAGTCCTGGGAAAAACAACATAATAGGCACATTATTACAGTACAATTGTATGGTGAAATTACTATGAAGGTGCAAGATAAGACAATTCTTTATCCTTTGTAGGGAAAAGAGTTAAATTTCTTAGCCTAGTCTTTCAAGAAGAAAGGTTTAGAAACAAAGATTAGGGCTGTTGGAAGGGAATTCCAGGCCGATACAGGTACAAATGTATCAATTGAGAACCTGACTGCTATGTGACTAGAAAATTTAACATCTTCCATCTTAAAAAATAACAATTCATTTAAAAGTCTTAGGATCTAATCTATTTTGATGTTTTGTTTCATTTCACATAAGTATTTTTGCTCTCCCGGTGTTACCAAATGAGGCCCATTTTGTCCACAATACAGAATGCAGATCACTGAAACAAAACAAGTTTTGCAAAAGAGATTTTACTCATGCAGCACCAGTCCTGAGACAAGGTGGCAGCTTCAAATCTCAAATCCACTTCAAATCCACTTCCCAGTAAATAGACTTTAGTGGTGTTCATGGGATGAAGAAAATAGGGTTACCTAAGGTAGGGGGTGGGGTAAAGATGCCTGGAGTAAGGAAAGGGGTCGTAATGGTGGTCTACACATTCCTGAACAAATTTATAGCTTTTCATTGGCCTTGTTCAGAAAATAGCTGAGTAAGTGTGATATAGGGTTAGGGTTTTGGCCCTCTGATGTCAGAAAGTTACCCACTGGATAACACTGGACCCAAGTCAAGGGTAGGTGTTTTTAACCAGTTTGAGATAGGCTAAAGCAACCTTTGAATTCCTAAGAAAATACTGAAGCAATTACAACAATAAGTCAGAGATGTTACCAATAGCAACGCCAATGGAGAAATACTGCTTAGCTCTCTGACTCCCAAAATTGGCAATAAAAGCAAGTAACTGAAAACAAAAGAAGCTAGATGGTTTATTCAGGTTTTCCCTTGGATTCACCAATTTTAAACCAACTTCTCAACATCAGAAATAACAGCAAAATTTTAAATGTTGATTGACTTATAAAGCCATTATTTATTACCTCAACACTATTCTGAAGATATTAGTTGAAAATTATAAAGATAACTATCTAAGTAGTTGGAAGAATAATCGTGCATTTGTCAGAGTTCTAATACTTGTATAAACAAAATAACTGGGCCATCGACTGAAGCATTTATTATTTAACGAGATACTTTAGTGCTTTCAGCACTATCTCCTATAAATATATCATTTTAGCATAAATGCCTTGTAATTTATAATTTTCATGTTCTTGGAGATTCTTATAAGTTAAAAGCATCTTCTGTAACAAATTAAATTTGAACATAAAGTATGTCTCAACTAGTTCTTTGACCTAATTATTTACTCTTCACAAGTGCCTATGAATACTGACTTCATTCAAAGATGATTATAAAATCTAAACATTTTAAAATGTGAAGGCTGTATAACTTGGCAAATTTGTACTGACTAGTCATTTTAATAATTTTTTTAAAATTTTGTTAATGATGGTACTCTAGATATCTAACTTCCCTTCTATACTAGATTCAGCTGTTAACCATTGTTTATAGCCTTTGATGATTTCTCCTCTTAATCCTAATTGTGAAGGCAGTAGATTATGCAAATTACTAACAAATCTCCTACTGATAAGCTATGCAAATGAAGCACCAAGTGAGTGGCTATATTCTTTTATCATTAATCAGTTGATTTAACTCTCCTAAAAAATGCAAGATGACATGATTGACCCCAACTTGCAAGCCTCCAAAGAGTCATTTATGTTGTCAATAATGTAGCCAAGAAAGCAAATGCATATTATTTGCATTTAGTTTTTAAAAGCCTGGAAGTTTTCAGTTGTCTTTGCAAGGGCTCCAGATTCTAGCCTCTCTCTCTGTTATATCTGCACCATCTATAATATCATTAGAATCCTAAGCAAACCCTGAGGAAGGGGAGTTGGACTTACTCAGTATGCAAAGCAACAATAGATGAGTTTTCCAGACAAGAGTTCTGAGAAAGAAAACCTGTTGGGAAAGAAAAGAGGGAAAGGTTTCAAGTATTGTTTGTTTTTTTTTCCAACTTGGCTTTTCCACACTCCTTTTTCTGAGAAGCCATTTGTATGTACAAATCACTTCGGTTTATTTTTAAAACCCACACACAGAGAGATGTTGTTTTGTTGTGGTTACATCCTGGTCAGTAGAGGCCCAAAGCTTCCCATCGTGAGAGGAAATGAAGGCTGGCTGGATCTTTAAGGAATCTCTTAATGCACGTGGCTCCTTTCATCTCATGCCTGTGATAGCTGTGATTCAGTCCCTGGTTTATTTGCAAAGGTAGCTTACCGAGAAAATTGAACACAGGCTGGGAGGTGAGCCCCACAAATGGAACAAAGTTTGCATGTTTATTAAGAAGAAAAAGGACAAAGCAATTTCTTCCCTTACATGAAGAAAACCAATCTGCTGTGTTGCAGGAGTCCTACGACTAGTAGAACCAAGGCACTTGGATAGGACAACAGAACATCAAGATAGATCAGATTCCAAAGTTTACAAATAAAAAATCTTGAGGTGCATATGCCCAGAGAAGACCAAATTTTCCAGTTGTGTGGCAGACTACGTTCTCCAACAGTTTCATGTTTTTGTGCCTATGTTGACCTGGAAGGCCCTTCCTGTAGCCCGAAGGACTGCCTGAGAAGAAAAGATATTTTCTTCCAAGACTGAGCTAAGACTCTCCTCAGCCTTGATTCCCTCCTCCTAAAGGGCAGAGGGTTATCTTTTCTGGCCACCTCTGTAGCTCTTGATGCATGATAGTGTTACTGTTGGACAGCCTGGCCTCCAGATTAAATTAGACTGAGCTTCATGAGTTGGAGATCTGTGTAGATACTTGAAGAATCAAGGAACCATGGTCTATCCAGGTATCCAAATTTGGGTTCAGAAAACTAGATCATTCTAAGACTGGTTTGAATCTCTCCCTCTAATGATACACTTTCTGCCACTTATTACTACTGACCAAGTGCAAACTTGTCAACCCTGAATGGGAATTGAACCACTTTAGTACTCGATATGGGAAAGGGAGAGATACTATTAGCAGACAAAGACAAGTTATGTGAAAATTTTTCAATAAACTCACTGTGGTTAATCTGAATTGTCAACTTGATTGGATTCAGAGATGCTCAAGATTAAGAGGTTTCTGGGTGTGTCAAGGAGGGTGCTTCTAGGAATCATTGACACGAGGGACAGCAAACCGAGGGAAAGACCCACCCTAAATGTGGATAGCACAGTCCTATATGTTAGGGGCCTGGACAGAACAAAAAGGTGAAAGATCAAGGAGGCAGCAGCAGAGAGGATCCCCCATTCTTCTTTGGAGTGGGTTCCATTGCTGCTGTGTTGGCATGAGGACATGAGACTCCAACTTCTTCACTCTTCAGAGCAGGTTCTCACTGGTGACTCTCCAGGGAGTTTCCAGGTTTTCTGTCCTGGACCAGGACAGCATCATGGGTTCCTCTGGTTCTGAGGCTCCAGCTTCTTAGACTGAGCAGCTACTGGTTCCTCCAGTTCTCCAGCTTTCCATCATTGTCAGTCTGATATATATATATATTGAGAGAGAGAGAGAGAGAGAGAGATAGACAGATAGAGAGAAATGATTATATATATATGTATAATCACCTGTTGGTTCTGTTTCTCTGAGAACCCTAACAACTAACAACTCACTATCAGCCCTTGTCAATTTTAGAGTATTCTTTGAAGCTACAGATTCCTACCTTGCTTGTTTTATTCAATAATTTAAAATGATGTTYCCATTATGATATAAAATCAATTTTTCTTGCTGTATTTTTAGTTTTTTGTTGTTGTTGTTGTTTTATTTTTTACATACATGACAGCGAAGTGCTTTATTGCTTTCTGACCAGTACTTCCACAAATTGCCTAAGAAACCATTAAAGTTCTGAGTTTTTTAAAGAGATTATTTTAAAGAGATTATTCTTCTTTGAAGAAATGTGTTTTAAACCCATATGAGACATGCTAATCTTGCATCATGGTCTAATACCCATATTTAGGTATATGCAAGAATATTTAACAACTGGAAATAAAACTTTAATATAGTATTTTTCAATAAATAATTTTAAAATATTCCATCACTCTCTTTTGTCAGTAGTTTAAAAAGATGTCCCTGTCTGAACTATAAGACAGAAATCTTGCCTCTTGCCTTATTAAACTGATAGTCATTAGATTCACTTGTAGTTTTTGACTGCCATCAAGAGGCTAGGTATGCTGAGTCTATACCCAGACAGCCTGAAACTTGGACCCACCCAGCATTCTGTTATCATCACCATCTGGCCAGTCTCCCCTTATCACCCATATTGATGCTGAGCCCCACACCCCACCCCTGCCAGCATCAGGAGATGTGCACACAGATACAAATGCCCCTCCTATTTGAGACCACTCTGCAGCTAGCTAGGGTGACCCTCATTTGCAGAATGCTCTAAGCCCCAATATGTACTTTATAGACATTTGGGTTCCATACAGTAAACCATTTACCATCTGGTACTGATGCCTTATATTTCAACTTTTTAATGAATGATATGTTCATAGTAGTGGTGAACATCAGCTCTGCCTAGAAGGTTCTGGTCTTTATAGATGACTAACAGTAAAAGTCTAATTTTCTTCAGCTAGCCAAATAGCCATCTGGTACTTATACCATAATTTATAGGAACTTGGTTTTGACATGAGGTCAGAAAGAGAATAGATACTACTTATACCATTCAAGTTTTTTAACGAATTAAATAAAAATGAGCACTTGTACAAATTAAATACATTTTATCTCATCCAGTCTTTATATCAATCCTGTCTTCAGGTAAAATCATCATTTTATAATTGGGAAAACTGAAGCACAGAGAAATTAAATTGCCCAAGAATTCATATGCTCACTTCAGAATTCAACCACTATGATATACCACCTTCCTATTAAGTAAATGGCTCTCTAAATGACCAGGTTTATGTACTGAAGTGAACAGAAATATGGTTTGAATTATGATTTCCTCACTTACTAATTGAACCTCTGAAAAAATTACTTTATCACTGTAAGCTTTAATTTTCTCACCTCCAAATCAGAAAGAATAAACCTTCTTTGACATAGTTATTATGAGAAATAAACAATAAAATAAACAGAAAATGATTACTATTGTACCTGGAACATAATAATTCTTTCATGAAAATCAATTCTGCTCTGTAAAATATCTCTCGTTAGCACTATATGGGCAGGAACCATATTGGGCTCATCCTCATAATTACAATGATAAGGATAATAGCTAACTACTGTAGACCGAACCCTTGGCACATGGCAGGCACTGCTCTACTCTTTTACTTAGAACAACTCATTCAATCCTTTCAACTACCTTCTATATACATGAGATTAGTATTATCCTCACTTATACAGGTGAGGAAACAGGAGCAAGAAAATCATGTAACTCACTCAACATCATCCATAGATGGCAAGTGGTAGACCCTGAATTAAAATTYAAACCAGGCACACTGGCTCTAGAATTTGTGCTTTTAACCACTGTTCACTCTTAGTGCTCTAGAGTTTCAATAAATATTTGTAGAGGAATGTGTAATCCTGAAATTACACAATTATTATTTCTTGTGTTAATTTTTAGCTTTCTAGTCCCTAAGAAATATGAAGCTGATATTAGACCACTAATATGTTTTTTCATTTGAATGTTGATGAATTTGTTTATTGGTCCTAAAAAGATAACAAGTTTTGAAAGGACAGAGAAAATTACAAACAACAAAAGCAATAAATATGGCTAGGAAAGAGATACAGTTAGATAATACAAATGGAAGAAATGATTTACAGTAGAAGGGGTAGAGAGAGAAAAGGGGAGGGGAGGGGAGGGGAGGGGGGATAGTAGAGAATAAGACAGACAGCAGAATACATCAGACACTAGAAAGGCAATWTGTCAATCAATGGAAGGGTAACTGATGTGATACAGCAATCTRTATACGGGGTAAAATTGGGAGTTCATAACCCACTTGAATCAAACTGTGAAATATGATGTATTAAGAACTATGTAATGTTTTGAACGACCAACAATTAAAAAAATAAAAAAAATATAAAGTTGCTGGATAGGAAAAAAAAAAAAAAAGAAGCCATACCAAACATGAGACCCCAAGCTGGGGTTCGATTTCTATTAGCCTCATGAGAATCTAATACTTACCAAGTCTTAAATCTTAGCTATAATCTTTTTAATTAAAAGACACTATTTGAGTATGATTGGAAGAAAAGATAACAATGGTATTTCTTTCTAGAATATTTATAAACATTTTAGCAAGTAAAATACAAAAAAATAATAATTTGATTGTAATTTTTCTTTCTGTCTGGATTGTCTCAAGAATACATAAAATATGTAATCCTAGTCACTTGGGAGACTGAAGCAGGTGGACTTCAAGTCCAAGACTAGCTTCAGTAACTTAGTGAAACGCTGTCTCAAAATAAATAAATACCCTCACACATCAGATAGAGCACTAATCTCTAGGGTATATAAAAACCTCAAAAAGCTAGACACCAAAAAAACAAATAACTCAATCAATAATGGGCCATGGACCTGAACAGACACTTCTCAGAATAAGACATACCATCAGTCAACAAAATATGAAAAAAATATTCATTATCTCTAGCAATTAGAGAAATGCAAATCAAAACCACTCTAAGATTTCATCTCGCTCTAGTCAGAATGGCAGCTATTATGAAAACAAACAACAATAAGTGTTGGTGAGGATGTGGGGAAAACGGTACACTCATACATTGCTGGTGTAACTGCAAATTGGTGCAGCCAATATGGAAAGCAGTATGGATATTTCTTAGAAAATTGGGAATGGAACCCCATTTGACCTAGCTATCCCTCTCCTTGGACTATACCCAAAGGATTTAAAAACAGCATACTACAGGAACCACAGCCACACCAATGTTTTTAGCAGCAAAATTCACAACAGCTAAACTGTGGAACCAACCTAGATGCCCTTCAGTAGATGACTGGATAAAAAAAAAAATGTGGCATATATACACAATGGAATATTACTTAGCAATAAAAGAGAATAAAATCATGGTATTTGCAGGTAAATCGATAGAATTAGAGAAGATAATGCTAAATTAAGTTAGCTAATCCCCCCAAAAACAAATGCCAAATGTTTTCTCTGATATAAGGAGGCTGATTTGTAGTGTAGGCTGATTTGTAGAGGGAGCATGGGAGAACTCTAGATAGGGCAGAGGGGTGGGAGGGGCAGGGTCGGGGCATGGGGTTAGAAATGATGGTGGAATGTGATGGACATTATTATCCAAAATACATGTATGAAGACATGAATTGGTGTGAATATACTTTGTATACAAACAGAGATATGAAAAATTGTGCTCTATATGTGTAATAAGAATTGTAATACATTCTGCTGTCATATATAAATTTTTAAAAAAGCAAAAACCAAACAAACAAATAGGCCTGGGGATGTATCTCAATGATACAGAACTTCTGGGTTCAATCCCCAGTATTATCAAAAAATTACATAAAATATTATCAATAAGTTAAAAAAGTATGTGCATCTTAGAAAAAGAAAACCCTCTTGTATAAAAAAAAGTTTGAAAATTCCATCTAAGATAGAAACACTGCTTTAATAAAAAAAAGATAATCCTCTATGACAAAAAACCTACTTTTAATACTTCATCCAAGTTATCTTTTAGTCTTATGTCAATTTAGAATTTGTTCATACATCATAATATAAATAGGCCATTTGAAAACTGAGACACAAATACTAGTAATCTTAGTTCTTATTTATTAAAATTTAGTGTTTAGTACTATTGTTTAACCTCCATAATTGCTTTTGAAGGTTTACAAAAAGTGTATTTTATATATATATATATATATATATATATATATATATATATATCTTCAAAGATTTTTAAGAGATAAAACTCTCATTTGACATATTTCTTTTATTAATACTATTTGTGAAATAATTCCATGCAATGAATTTGCCACTGTATTTTCTCATGTTTACTGTGATGGAAATTGTGAACTTGACTAGGATGATACAGGTTTAACTATGTATCCTTTAAGGTGGTCAGAATCCTTTTTAGACCTGTGAGGTGTCCTAATTGACCGGTCACATTACTCAGCGTTAAAAAAGAACAAAATCATAGCATTTGCAGGTAAATGTATGGCGTTGGAGAAGATAATGCTAAGTGAAGTCAGCCAATTCCAAAAAAAATAAGTGCCAAATGTTTTATCTGATATAATGGGGGTGACTCATAGTGAGGTAGGGAGGGAGAGCATGGGAGGATTAGATGAATTCTAGATAGGGAAGAGGGGTAGGAGGGAAAGAGAGGGGGAAGGGGATTAGCAAGGATGGTGGAATGTGATGGTCATCATTATCCAAAGTACATGTATGAAGACTTGAATTGGGTATCAACATATCTTGTATACAAACAGAGATATGAAAAAATGTGGTATCTATATATATTAAGAATTGTAATGCAAAAAAGCGCATGTATAATGGCACAAATTGATGTGAACATACTTTATATACAAAGATA